TTTCCACACAATGGAATTAAACCACCAGGGACAGTTTTCATCTGCATGTCTTCCATTTCCCAGCATTGTAAGGGCACCGTTTTCCTTTATGTTGTATTTTAGTTTTAAAACCCCAAGGATAAATACTGCTTTAATTAAAAAAAAAACAACAAAACTTTCTAAGCAAGAGAGAACCAGAGTTTTTCATCTAACTAAACTCTGTGAATTCTTTATAACAATTAATGACTCAGAAATGAAATCTTGGGGCTTGGGGGGCAGGGAGCCTTCCAGAGGCCTGGATGGATCAGAACATCCACGGTATGTGGTGTTTCTTCTATGAGCGTGGATCAGCCTTAGGGTAGTTGTGTGACAGACATCTCATTCCGTGCCACTGTGTAAACCCACTGTGCTGCTCTCCCTTTTCTCTAGATCCCTGGTCTGACTATCTGACTCCAAATAGTGTGGCTACACATGGTTTAGGAGAGGAGAGGTGCACAGAATCCTACCCCACCCCCTCTCTAGACAAGGGGGCATCCCTGCTGTCATTCCAGAAAGGACCAGCATCTTTGCATTTCCCCAGTGCTGAATGAGTGCCTTGCATATGGGAAGTGCTTAGTCTTTGTCTGAATAGAGGGGCAAACCACAGATCAATGTGGGTGGGCGTGATGATCATTTAGTGATGAAGCAGATAGTCCTGGGGCTTAGTGAGGCTTTTCAGAGGCAAGGTGCTTCTTTCAGGCACTAGAAGCTGGATTGGATGACTTGGGTTTTCATTCAGGTTTTGCCACCACCAGAAAGGGGCAAGTCATTTTCTGTCAGTTAATGAGGAGGTTGGATGAGGTGATACCTGAGAGTCTGGTTTCTAAGCTTTCCCTACTCCAACACTTGGGTAGAGAAATCTGACTTTTAAAGGAGAGCTCAAGACCTCAGGGTTTTTCCTGCTCATGTAGAATTTGCCCCTGGCTAAGTCGTCTGAGGCTGTTCAGATGCCCACTCAGTTGGTCTGTGCCCCCAGAGCTTCTGAGGGCACCAGTTTATACCCACAAGGTCCAGTTGGCCCCACCACCACCACTGCCTCTTAGAATGGAAGCATCTTTTGCATCCAGGTGTCTGTTTGTGTCCTGTTGCTGTTGTATCAAATCACCACAAATGTAATAGCTTATAAGAACATAAATTTATTCTCTTATATTTCCAGAAATCCAAACTCAGTCTCACTGGACTACAGTCGAGGTGTCAGTAGGGCAGTTTTTTCTAGAAGCTCTACAGGAGAATCAGTTCCCTTGCCTTTTCTGGTTTCTAGAGGCTTCCTACATTTCCTTGGTTCATAGCCCCTTCCTGCATTTTCAAGGTCAGCAGTATAGAATCTTCTCTTGTCTCTGACCTCTGCTTCCATCCCTACAATCCTTTCTCTGATTCTGATCCTCTTGTCTCCACCTTTTAATGACTCTTGTGATTACATAGGCATACCTGGATAATTTCAGGATAATCTTCTCCTGGTCAAGACCCTTAATCACCTCTACAAAGTCCTCTTTACTATATAACACTCACAAGCCCTGCAGATTAGAATGTGGGCATCTTTGGTGGATCAGTATTTAAATATCCATTCCATTTTAAAACCTAGAATTAAACAGGGAAAAGCATACTGAAACTCCTGTATTAGAATGGGCATTACAGGTAGTGCCCTAGGCAGGTGACTGTGTACTGCTTGTATGTTGACCTACACAACAGCAAAACCCATTTTCTCTCTGAGTCTGCTTTTAGAAGAGGTCAATGGCCTTTATCCACAGAAACGTATACTCACAAAAGAGGTGTCATATCTCACACCCGCCAGTTTCTGATAAGCCACAGTCTTAACTGCCTTCTTCCTTCTGTCCATAGCAATAACTGAGTGTCCCCAAGCACCCCCAAAGTGCAAGGCAGCATGCTGGAAAAAAGGCAAGGATCTCTAAGACATACTCCCTACTGTTGTGGAGCTTGATAGTTCACACAAATGGGAAAGAGTAAGTCATTCTTATCTGGCTCTGAAATATGTTTTGAACTTGGATCTGAATGTGGGTGTACCTGGTGTTCTGGGAACTCACATCAAACAAAACAGGGGAACAGTCCATGAAGACGTACTCTATGATCACTACATGTGTGTCACTATATGCATCTGAACTTCAGGCTATTAAGTCTTGTGGCTAAGAATTTTAGTTTTTTTTCTTTAATAGGATGATGTGTCTTTTCCTCATTAGCTAAGATTTTGGTTCAAAGGAGACATTCAGCTCTGATGACTCATGTGAAATCACTTGATAAAGTTGGGGACAATAAGAATTTTTTTTAGGCAAAATGGAAGTCAGGAAGAAAACTGGGTAGGCTTCTTATTTCCTACTGGGTCTGAATGAGCAAACTTCTAACCAGGCCATACTCTGAAAAGCACTTGTTTCCTGGTCCAACCTACAAAAATACCCAGCACGGTTGGCTTTCCTAGTTGGAGAGATTGCTCTTCTTTGCATGGCCCTTCAAAGTTGAAGGGAAGCAACAAGAGCTCCTTCCATCCCAGAACGCAAGTTGAGAAAATACAGCTGACTTCTTTGGGAAAAACAAAACTGACTTTGTTTTACTCTGGTCATGGAAACCAAATTGGCACCTCATTATCGCCTTGTTAGTAAGGACAATCTGTGATGGACAAACCTGGTAGGAAGGGTTGGCGCTGTGTGGGCAGGGTTTTGAGTTAAGCCTAATTGCTTTCCTAAAGCTGAGCTACTTAATACTACACAAGTCAAAAATCTACCATCAGGCTAGACCATTAATGAGTGCTTCCTCACTCTGCTGCTGCTGTGATTTGTAGTGGGCCACACTAGAGTCCCCAAAGCTTGACTACAATCAGCACAACTCCCTTCCTCTAGGGGGAAAAGCCTGTGATACACTTAACTCTCCCCTTACCTGATATCTTAAAATGCAGTCAGCTCTCAGAGTTCAGCAGTGCTGCTTTCTAACCATCAGAAAAACTTACAGAAAGTTTTTGATTTCTTGCACAAATGGGAAAGAGAAACAACATCTTTCTTATCTGGCTCTGAAATGTGTTTTATACTTGTATTAGAGTGTGGGTGTGCCTGACGTTCTGGGAACTCACTTCAAACAAAACAGGGAAGCAGCCCAGGAGGATGTACACAAAGGGGGCGGAGAAGCTGAGTACTCGAATTACCTGGTGCTTCTTCTCTGGTTAGGGTTTGAATCCCATGTGCTCACCACCAAAAGTGAGTGTTCATTAAGCAGGTCTCCATCTCTCTGAGCTGTAGGTTCTTACCCTGCAAAATCGATGAAAATTACCTGCCCCATGGGACCACTGGAGACCAAGTGGAATAACACAGGCTAAGCATGGTCACACAGGAGCATCACAGTAAATGCCAGCAATCTCTCTCACTCCCCTTCCTTCTACCACGTTTGCACCTCCTCTACTGCAAACCTGAACAGCTCCAAAGTGGGAGAGTGTGATATCTACACCCCACCCCCCACACACACTCCACATCTTTATGTTTCCTCCTCACCAGTGCCTACTCCCAGCCTCTCTCTTTTTTGCTTTATTATTTTTAGACTTTTACTGCACAGTGCTGTGACAGTGGAGATCAGTGTGTCCCAGCTATGCATTCTCACCCTCCCTCTCCCTTCATAAGCATGATGGTGGTACAGCCTGGATGGTCCAAGGCAATTCTGACTTCCAATTTCACAGTTCCATTCATCCCATTCAAATGACCTGCGATTCCAATTCATCAACATCCCAAACACATTTTCTGATTACACCCACTTCCATAAGGTAATTTAAGACCCAGGAAATATGGTCTTACTCAAGGGCTTTGACTGTGGTAACCACACACACCAAACTCCCTGGGAAGGTCTGTCTCACTTCCAGATCATGCATTCTCATTGGTCCATAAAACTCCATAACCAACCAACAAGGGTCACATGAGAGGTACATGGCAGAGAGAACACCACCCACCTCCCCACCACCCCATAAGATTCTGTGAGAGCTGACCACTGTCTACTACCTCAAATTCAGACATTTCATTTGTAATTTTTCAGGTTATTCCATATACTACTTGGGTTTAAGGGCTGAGCTGTTATTCTTAGATGTGAAATGAGGACAAGGATAAAAATGCATTTGGCACACACAAAATACATATATTTATATACAGTCCATTCTGTGTGTAATTTTGAAGCCTGCTTTTTTTTTTTTAAACTAACATTGGAGTATATGGATTTTCTCGTGTCATCAAAGTAATTCCTTTTTTGTTTTTGTAACCAGTGACAGTATTTCTCACTGACAATGATAGGGAAGGGTGGGGTGGTAAAAGCAGAGACCCAAGGGGAATTTAGCACAGGTGGGATGCTTTCCATCTTAGGCTTGATTCTGTGCACATTTTTGAATGTCTAACTATTACATAATAAAGTAGAAATTTAAACACCAATAGTAATTAGTTATTTAATATTTTGTTATGCAAATATATCATCATATACTCAGATGGAGCCCCATCTCCCCATTACTAGATATTTATAATTTTTGACTTTGGACTCTTAGATAATATAGTATTAAACATCTTCAGGTATCAAGTCTTGTCTTAGTGTAGGTTTATGGAATTGAATTGTTGAGTCAGACTATGACTGTACTGAATGCATATTGCCAGAACTACACTTTACCAAAGCTATGAGTTTAGACTACCCTTGACGTGTGTCTGTTGCACTTTTTCTCTCAACACTGAGGGCTGTCATTGTTTTTATAATATTGGCTATTTTGCTAGGCAAATATATGTTTCTAATAGTTTTAATTTGTATTTCTAATTACCAGGGAAACTCAACATCCCATCATATAATTTTCTCTTGGAGCTTTGGACTTTTTAAAACGTGTGAGCACAGGTGGTTGCACTCACCTATATGTAGGAGGGTCTTGTTTCTGTGGGAGAAAGGGCCACAGATAAAGAAACTGTCCTTTGCCCCCCTCACTGAAAACCAGCAATGCACTTAGACCTCTTGTCTTCCTGCAGCGCTGCCAAGCTTCTGGACAAGAATCCCTTCTCAGTCAGTAACCCGAACCCTCTGCTCCCTTCGCCTGCCAGCCTCCAGCTGGCCCAACTGCAAGCCCAGCTCACCCTCCACCGGCTGAAGTTGGCACAGACGGCTGTCACCAACAACACTGCAGCTGCCACAGTCTTGAACCAGGTCCTCTCCAAAGTGGCCATGTCCCAGCCTCTCTTCAACCAGTTGAGGCACCCGTCTGTGCTCAGTGCCCCCCATGGCCACACTGGGGTACCCCAACATGCTACAACTATACCCAGTGCCCGCTTTCCCTCCAGTGCAATTGCTTTTTCACCCCCCAGCCAGACACGAGGCCCCGGACCCTCTGTGAGCCTCCCCAGCCAGCCTCCCACTGCCATGGTAGTGCATCCTTTCAGTGGGGTGATGCCTCAGACCCCTGCCCAGCCAGCAGTCATTCTGGGCATTGGCAAGGCCGGGCCCACTCCAGCTACTGCGGGATTCTATGACTATGGCAAAACCAACACTAGCCAGGCCTATGGCTCTGAAACAGATGGTCAGCCTGGTTTTCTGCCTGCCTCAGTCTCTGCCTCCAGTAGTGTGACCTACGAAGGGCCCTACAGTCACACAGGGCAAGATGGCCAAGCAACCTTTTCCAAGGACTTCTACGGACCCAATGCCCAAGGGTCACACGTGGCAGGAGGATTTCCAGCCGAGCAGGTGGGAGGCATGAAAGGTGAGGTAGGGGCGCTGCTGCAAGGTGCAAACAGTCAGTGGGAGAGTGCCCCTGGAGTCTCTGGGCAAAGCAAGCCTGATCTTACAGCAGGTCCCAACCTGTGGCCTCCGCCCCCTAGCCAGTCCTATGATCTGTATGACCCCGAGGAGCCTACCTCTGACAGGACCCCTTCTTCCTTCGGGGGTCGGCTTAACAACAGCAAGCATGCTTTCAGCAGTGCCAGGCGGCGGGCCAGGGAGGAGCAGGTGATGCTGTCTGTGAGGCCTCTGCAGGCTCATGAGCTGAATGACTTTCATGGCGTGGTCCCACTCCACCTGCCACATGTCTGTAGCATGTGTGACAAGAAGGTGTTTGACTTGAAGGTGAGTTCTCCAAGACAGGTTGGCAGTCAGGTGGGCTTCCCCCTCACAACCCAACTCTCTCTATTCATGGCTGAGGAACAGAAGAACGTGTGGGAATTGGGGAACAGAATTTTGCCATCAGAACCTTTGACATTAAAACCCAAATGAATTTAAGAAATGTGTCAGGGTCTGTCCCTTGTTTTAAGTAAAGTAAAAGATTTCTTCCCCCACTAATACAGGAGAAATCAGGGGCCGAGGGGCATGGAAGACTCCTCCTAACTGTAGAGAAGGGCTCGGGAACTTGTCTCCTGCCTTCTTGTGGGAGGCCTTTTCCTCTGTGGTGGGCCTGCAAGATATTATTCTGCAGCACATATGTTGTGCTGAGTTTGAAAGGGAAAAAAGTGGAATTTTGGATCAGGGGGCAAGAGGGCAGTGCTCAGATGAGACCTACACAAACTATTATAGAGGCAGATTTTACAGGTGAGGCCTCTATATTAGTCACCTATCTAGAAAGTGACATAGTAGTGATTCAAACATGGGTCTGACCCTCCCTGAGCTTGCTCCTCTTAAGAGAGTTGTCCTCTCTCATCCAGAGCACAATAAAGTCCCTTCTTAGTGGGAGTCATACCACAGCTGTCATTTATCTCTGTTTGGGTCACACTACCCAGGTGCATCCCTGTGGCCCAGGGACACACCCTCTTACCTCAAGTTTAGGGTGGGGACTGGTTGACACCAGGAAGTGGTCTAGCTCTTTTCCTTTCATAGGCCTTTTCCTAGGGTTTTATAAATCACTGTAAGTCCACCATCCAGAGTCTACCAACTAGATCAGAAGTAGGTGGGGTCTGTCTGTGGAGAGGAGGATAGGGAGGTTGGAGGTGAGTGCAGGGGTCCACTGAGAGGGAGGAGGGAATCTGACTTTCAAGTCTGGGCAGCTGTCCAAGATGGGTGTGGGATGTGCAGATGAGGGGCTGATGGAGTGAGGAGGGAATGGGGAAGAGTGGGGAGGGAGAGGAGATGGAGATGTAACTGCAGGGTGGAAGCAGTCTCAGGGTGCTCCATGCTCCCTGCCTAGCTGCCTTCATCCTCTGCCTCCCCCATTTCTACTTTGGTTTCTTTTCTTTCTTTCTGACCTAGGACTGGGAGCTGCATGTGAAAGGGAAGCTGCATGCTCAGAAATGCCTGCTCTTCTCTGAAAAGTAAGTGCTGTCCACGAAAACAGTCCACACATACACTCCGCAAATGTTCATTGAGCATCTGTTTGCTTCATGCTCTGTGCTGGGTGCAGGGAAACTGCAAGAACCAGACTGGCAGACCCCTGTCCTCAAGGAGCTTACACTTAATGCAGGGAGACAGAAGATATATAAAATGAAAGAGCAAATGAGATAGAGATAGCATCCCCAGTGGTAAATGCTAAGCAGATAGCAACACTAGGGCAGGGGCGGGAAGTATATGTGCACGTGTGCTCCGGGGATGGTCCTCAAATTTTAAATAGGGCAGCTGGGAGAGACCTCACTGCGGAATTTCAGGAAGGCCTGCTGCCCAGGGGAAGCACATTCCTCACAGATGGAACAGGATTTGAAGGTTTAAATTCCCTAGCTGGTGTGGACCTGGGATCCAGGCAACATCCCTTGTGACCAGGGCAGAAAGAAGGGAGAGAAGCCAGAAAAGTATCAGGGCCCAGCCAGCCCTTGATTGTTGTGGGATTGGGAGCAAAGGAGTGATATGCTCAGGCCCCACTGAGTAGGACCCTGGCTGCCGTTCTGAGAACAGATGCCAGGGGCAAAGGTAGGCCCCAGAGGCCAGTGAGGAGGCAGAGAAGGGGGGCGTCTAGTCCCAGAGATACAGAGCAGACAACTGTTTTGAAGTGTGGTCAGAAGGCCTCCCTATTATTCACAGTAGCCAACAGATGGAAGCAACTGGATGTCCATCAACAGATGAATGAATAAACAAAATGTGGTCTACCCACACAATGGACTATTAACTCAGCCTTAAAAATGAAGGAGCGCTAGGACACGACTCAAATGGCAGAGTATGTGCCTAGCAAGCACAGGCCCTGAGTTCAACCCCGAGTACCACCAAAAAAAAGGGGAGGAAATTCTGACACATTAGTACAACATACTTGAGCTCTGAGGACATTGTGCTAAGTGAAATAAACCAGTGACAAAGAGACAAATGCTGTATAATTCCACTCCTATGAGGTATTTTGAGAGATCAAACTCACAGAGACAGGAAATAGATTGGTAGTTGCCAGGGGCTGGGAGCTGGATGGAGAGTTCAGTGGGTACAGAATTTTGTTTTGCAAGATAAAGAATTCTGTGGGTGGTGGTGGCTGCACAACAGTGCAGACACAGTTGATACCACTCAAGTGTATACTTAAAAATGGTTACGATGGTAAATTTTATGTCATGTGGATTTTAGCACAACTTAAAAATAATTTTTACAAAGGTCTATGTTTTCTGGCCCCTTTTTTCTTTATTGTGGTGAAATTCATATAAGACTCACCATTTTAACTTTTTTAAAGTTTACAATTCAGCAGTATTTAGTATACTTACAAGCCTGTACAAATACTACCACTATCCAGTTCTAAAACCTCTTTGTTACCCTCAAAGGAAACCTTGAACTCTTTAAGCAGTGTTTGCCATGCCCCTTCCCTCGGCCCCTGGGCACCACCAATGTGCTTTCTGTGTATGGATTTGCCTCTCCTGGACATTTCATGTAAATAGCATCATATACAATGTGGCCTTTTGTGACCATATAAGCTTTTTAAGTGTGCCCTAATAGTTTGAAGGTTTACTTGTGTTGCAGCCCATCAGTTTTTTGATGGTAGAATAGTATTAGGTGTCCATGTATGTATATAACACATGTCACTTATCCATTCATCTTCTGATGGATATTTGGGCTATTTCTACCTTTGGTTATTGTGAATAATGCCGCTATGAGCAGTCATATATAAGCTTTTGTTTGAGCATCTGTTTGTTTGTTTTTTTTTATCTATTTGGTCTCTGTACCCAGGAGTGGAATTTTGGGGTCATATTTAGTAATTTTTTTCGTTTAACTTATTGGGGAACTGGTTTCTCTTCTCCCCCCCTCTGTAGTGCTGGCATCCGGTGTGTACTTGCATCAGCAGAGGGGACACTCTGCACCTCCCCCAACAGCACAACAGTTTATAATCCCACCGGGAATGAAGGTGAGTGGGGGAACCCCTCAGGTGAGCGGCTAGCAGCAGAGATCAGCAGCCCACAGGCCCCCTTGTGTCCTGTCTTTAAAAGCCAAGACTTCTCTGATGTGCCCTCCCTGTACATTTCTGAGGCAGGCAGATCCCAAGACACCACATGCGTTGGGCCTGTTGACTGCATCCGTCAGTATTCTCTGAGACGCTGTAGGCATGGCAACGTGCCCAGAGGTATAAACGTGCCAGTCACTAACACACATGTTAAGAAGAGTGTTTCAGTTTTTTCTTCCCGCCTATGTCCTAATGTAATGAGAACCTGGCTCATGGCCGGGTTCTCACCTGGTTTGTGTCATTTGTCACTCAGATTATGCCTCAAATCTTGGAACATCATATGCAACCATTCCAGCCAGGTCCTTTGCTCAGTCAAATCCCACATTTCCTTCGGCTTCCTCGGGAACAAATGTGAGTATAAAGAATTTTCTCCATTGTCATATCATCCCCAAAGACTTTGCGTCATCTGTCATCTGCTGTGTCTAGGGCCTAGAGGGGCAAAGAAGGCTGGGATGAAGCTGTCGCTTCATCTGAGTCATTTAGAAAAGCATCCCCAGGCAGAGGTAAGCAGTCGTTTCTTCCAGTCCAACGAGTATCAAAACATATGAGTTGGGTGTGGTGGTTCATCCCTGGAATTCCAGCACTTCAGAGGCTGAGGCAAGAGGATTGAGAGTTTGAGGCCAGCCTGGGTTACATAGGGAGACCATGTTTCAAAAAAACAAAAGCAACATACAGGTGAAAAAGCTGACATAAATTTTTGAAATCGAAGGCATTCCAGCTTTCCAGTATTTGACACTGATTTAGAAAAAGAGTTTGAGCTTTTATGCTGGTTTAGTTTTTTGTTTTGTTTCTGAGGCAGGGTCTCATGTAGCCCTGGCTAGCCTTAAATTTATGATTCTACCTCAGTCTCCCTGGTGCTGGAGTTACAGGTGTGTGCCACCAAACCTGGCTGATGGTGGTTTTTTCTTTTTAAAGAATTTTTGATGTTTTATTAAAGTAGACCAATTTCTATGAAAGGGTAATCTTGAAACGTAAGCCAGAAAGTGAAAGTGTGTTTGACAGTAAGGAATAACTGGGTTACTGACCTCTTGGGGGAAATGGTTAGCACTGTCTAATAATTTTTGTTTCCTAGTTTTAGTTTTGTTCTTCTCTCTACATAACCTGCATTTTAGTACCCCACAGCTCTTATTGCTTCAGCCCTCCTTTTTTCTGTTGGCTGCGACAACTCCCTTTCTCTCTTTAGTTTCCATGTTTTTTGATTTCCCACTGTCTGCAATCTCCCACCCTGGGCATGAGAAGGTGGCAGGGAGACAGGCAGACGGCTGTAAAACACAATGCACATGGCTGAGCCCTGCTAGAGGGCGCCTGGTGAGTGTTTCTGCCTCTGCCTGTGTTTTTCCAACTTGAGCTGAGAGCTGCTGTAGCCTCTTTTTCTCTTCTCACGCACCAGTGAGTGCACGAGCTCTCTAGGGCAGGCCTCCACGTGCTGCCCTCTCCACGTGTATGGGACATTTATGCAAAACATGGAAAGAGCAAGCTGTGAGGTGTAGTTTCTGGGTTCTGGGAAGTGAGTCAGGGATGAGGCAAGAAGGTTCGTGACCAGCTATGAGGCCAAACTCAGCCTGGATTTCTTCTTACTCATGTCTGCTCATATGTGATGTTGAGTGGGACAAGGGCTTTGAGAAAGAGCACCTATCTAGAAGCCCACATTTTGGTGAAAGAGAATTTGGTGGTTTCTCCTCTGCATTCTCACCATTCAGAGCCATGCCCAAGTCAATGACAGCCTTGGGTCAGTCCCAGGAGAGTGGAGTGGCTGGTTTCAGTGAAGCCAGTCTTTTGTCTTTAAAGTCAGGACCTCTGGTTACATCATGACTATCTCCCCCATCTCCTCCCCTTTTCCCCCACCGCTAGATGTTTCTATACACTGTGGGCCATAAGATACCTCTGTGCTCACACCCTGCTCTGGGGCCACCACTTCAGGCACTGAAGGGAGGCAACTGTGACCAAAATAGGGCAGGTGGTGACAGGTGGTCTGGGGCCAGAGCTTATGCACTGACTCCATCCTGGGGTCTGGGCACAAGATAGAGAGCTGGCATCAGCTGAACCCTTTATAAAGAGGGCTGGATATGGCGGAGAGAGAGGCAAGCAGGACAGCTCTGGGGTCTGTCCCAGGCCTCATCCCCTCTCCAGTGCAGATCAGAGGCTTTTCCCTATGGACTTGGACTCAACAGATCTAAGATCAAGTCCTAGTTCTGTTGCCCACAAGATAACATGGGTTTACTTCTTTGAGACTCTGTTCCTCAATCAAAAATAATTGCCCAAATAATGACTTTTGGGGGCATAATAAGTGACTGAATTTCCACCTGGCTTGTGCTATTTACTTCTTGATCATGCCTTAAATTCTGGAACATCTTATGCAGTCTCCTGGCACAGTCTTCAGGTTCACTGGCCAGAACCAGAGGCAGAGAGTGGGGCTCAGTATGGGCCACAGAGTGGTCCTGCCCTTGCGACGATCAAATGGATAATGTGTGGGACAATGATTTGGGAATGGTCCTGTACACAGGAAGTAAAAATGGTTGCTACTGAGTAATGAGACCTTTTAGCCAATTTAATTACAAAGAAAACCCATAACAGCCGGTCCTGTCTACTCCATGCAACTCTGGCATGGAGAGTCTCAGTATCATTGTTTCCTTCACATGAGTCTGCCTAATAGTACTTGTAGTCATTTCTGCTCTTCTTTAGCATTTCAAGGTTTCCGTGAAAGCACTTTAAGTTGCGTGTGTTTTAGGCAAGCATAAGCAATTTGATGATTCAAGTTAATGATGGTTTGTGACAATTCATGTTAATACCTAAAAGCTCTGAGTGCAACGTCCTCCAAATGCCTAGAAGTGGGGAGGTTATAGAAAACATTTTTCTTTCTCCACAGGGAAGCTAGCAGGAGATGGAGAGCCTCGGAGAGTACAGGATGATAATAACTAACATTTCTGTAGTACTCAATGTGTTCTTAGAATTTTTGTATCATATTAGCTCATTTAATCCACCCCATGAGGTGGGTACTCTTGTTATCTGCATTGCACAGTTGGGAAACTGAGGCCTAGCAACACTTTGTACCTGGCCTAAGGCCACAGAACTGGTAAATGGAGGTGGTTTGAACCCATGTAGCCTGGCTCTGGATGCCTCACTTTTCACCGCTGAGCTATTGTGCCCTCAATCAAGGACCTTGGGGGTCTTTTCCATGCTGTGATTCTTCTCCTTAGCTCCTCCTCTTCAGTTTTATTAAAGTTGTTTCTGAATATTACATTTCATCCTTAGTTTCCTCTTTTTGATTTTGCCTCAGCATTTTAAAGAGAGTAAGTTTTTAAATTTCTCTCGCGGTCTCCCCTGCTACTTAAAGGAGCAGGCTGCTGTCCCTGCTCCCTACTTCCACCCACAAAATGCCTAGGAGGAGCTAAGGCTACCTTGTAGAGGTGGCAGGGACTTCCCTAGCCTCAGCCAACCATGGAGCAAGCTGAAAAGGCCAGTCACTCAGGCATCCACATTTTTCTTCCCTGGGACAGCATCTCCCAAGATGAGCTGGCCATTTTGGGGCATTTCCTACTAGGCATTTGGAGCAGGTTCTGCGGCAGGGGAGAAGCACCATTTGAAGTTCTGTGAAGTCTTGTTGGTCACATGAACCTTCCCAAGAACAAAGCTTGCCCCAGTCCATTCCTACTGTTCCATTAGCTCAACGCTTATTCACATCCTTCTGTCAGATTCTGGTGCCCTCTTAGCTGTATCTGACAAACAGAATTGAAGGCAGATATATCTTCCTTTTGGAAAACCTGAAATGCAAAAATATTGACATTTGAAGACAAGCTGAGATACGATCTGCTCCTGAAAACAGCAGGCTCCTTTAGGTAGCAAGGGAGACCCCAAGAGAGACTTAAAAACTTACTCCCTTTAAAATGCTGAGGAACCATCAAAAAGGGGAAATTAAGGATGAAATGTAATATTCAGAAACAACTTTAATAAAACTAAGTAACTGCCAGGAAAAAAAAAAAAAGCATAACAACTTACTCCCTGCCTACAAATACTGACCTCCAAAGATCATATGCCTCAGAGGGTCACCACTCTTACCAAATAAGATGTAGCCAGGCTCCAATGAGCTGCTTTTTCACGTTATACATTTCTCTTGCTTTTTCGGCTTACAAATGCTTATTGTGAAAATTCAAACAGAAAAGAAACCCTTAACGAGGAGAGTAAAATTTCCCCTCAGAGATCCCATAAGGTCTTTGATGCTTTCTCTTCTGCAAGCGTATTATAATCTTGTGCCAGATCTTTTCTAGTTAATTCAACATTTTGTTGAGAAAAGCCAGGCGCAGGCAGAACTCGGCCACTGTGAGATCACTATTGTTTGTGAAGCAAAGAGCAGTCGCTGCCTCTGTAGCTAGCTGTTTTGAAGCAGGAGAACAAAGTGACACAGGGCTTAGGGAGTGAACAGACCCAAACTGCCACAAAGTCTAAAAAACAACCACAAAAGCCATCTGCCACCACCATGTGTCCTGCTGGCCACAGTTAGGCTGAATTTAAACTCGTCTTGTCTCTGATGGTGTCTGAGCCTTCCCTCTCCATGTTTATTTTTGACAGAGATGGGACAGTGCATTGACAGTTGTGTGCTGTGTTTGCTAGTGGCATGTAATTTGTGTATGTCCCCAACCTCATCCACCCCAGCCAGGGTCCCCAGAGATGGGTGTTCCCTTTCACTTAAACTGTCACCATGTGCCAGAAGCAGACACTCCTTTTCCCTGGCTGCCTGAGTCGTCATAAACAGGGTGGTCAAATTTCTGGAAGGGGCCGTCAGGACCTTCTCAGGCTGTAAATAGTTTCCTTGCGCTTGGATACGGTGTATTTTGCCTGTGACTGTCGCCATAAAACCGTCTTACAGTTTTCACAACCACCATGGGGTTTATTTAGTACCAGTGCCACGGCTGGGCCTCAATGGAGGAGACAATACACATCATTTTTATGGTTTCTGTCTCACCAGTACCTTGCACTCCAGGGACTTGTATAAATAAGGAAACTGAGGCTCAGGGAAACACAAATGTTTGTGGAAGGCAGAGGCTGAAGTCATAGGTTGTCTTTCAGATTGCTGGCTGTTTCTAGAATATTTGTCTGTCTGATCTGATCTTCCCAGTGTATGGCTCAGAGCACTCTGGTCTTCTGACTTCTTTGAGAAGTGCTCTGTGCCCGCCACAGGAGCCATCTTTGGCATTTTCAAAGACAGGGGGAGCCCTCTCTGGTGCCTTCCACCTGTAATCCTGCTACTCAGGAGACAGAGATCAGGAGGATCACGGTTCAAAGCCAGCCCAGGCAAATAGTTCTTGAGACCCTGTCTTGAAAAAAAATCCATCACTGAAAAGGGCTGGTGGAGT